ATTCCTGCTAATAGCGATCTGCGAGTTTAGTGCAAAAACGCATGGTCGCACCGGAGAGCCTGGTGCATTCCGTCCTGGGTTTTTCCGTTTACGCGTTGGATGCGTAATCAGGAAGGATACTTCAATGTAAAAATATCAGTAGGAATTTTTGTACGGTGCTCACAGTGTAAAGAATTCATATTCTAAAAAAAAACACATTCATAATCGAAACGACTGAAAAATATAAAAATATTTTGTTTTATGAAAGGGATTTAATCCAAATTTAGCTGCATACTTCTCAGCGAATGTGGCAAACTTTTACGAACGACGAAATAGATTATTAAATTAAACGATTTATCTGAAGTTTGGAGACAGTCAGGAGTCAGATTTACCTCAAAATTTAGTATACTTCAGCTCGGATTATTGGAACAAAACAAGAGGAACCAAAAAGAACCTTGCGTCCTCCATTTTGAATCAGTTGTTGTTCCATTCACAGTTTGCTGACCGGGTTCTGGTGATGGCTCAGGTACTGGTGGAGTACTAGGCAAATTTGAACCAACAAACGACTGTGCATCTGCTGGCTCAGGGACAGTTGACGGTGAGTCTTCTGTCCAACTCGATGAAGAACTGGGCTCAACACTAGAATGCGGTAAAGGTTCTGGTTCAGGGGAAGGTGTTGGTTCAGGCTCTGGCTGAGGTAAGTCGCCGGTCATCGCTACTTGCGTTGGACTACTGGTGGATAGCTGTGAAGATTCTGTATTTGGTTCCGGTTCTGGCTCCGGCTCGGGAATTATGGAAGCCGTAATGATGAAGGAAGCTCGTGGAGCTGTCGTGGCACTACTCGGTACAGCAGTTTCATCGACAGTGAGTTGCTTCGGAGTGGCATCAAGCACTAACTCTACTACTGGCTTCACTTCTTTAGCTATGCCGAAATCACTCAATGTACAGTTTCGGTCAAATTTTCGTGCCCAGATCGAGACCATCTTGGACACATGTCTTAGAGCTTGCTCAGTGCATTGCGCCGAGAGTTCGGCTGCGGCGCAAGACAGCATCTTGTCCATGCTGAAAATTTCATTTCAATTTTTGCCAGTCTAAAAAGATGTAAGCTGTCATTGTTTTTGTTAGGAGCTTTTGGAAAAGTTTTTTTTTAAAGAAAGGGGAAAAGTGTGCGCGTAGGGCAGTATTGAAGTGATGGCAAGGAAGCTGGCAAAAGGAATAAAAATAAAATTATTCAATCTATCCATAAATAGCCCTTTCAAAAATGCCTGTCAATAAAATCTGGAGCTACGATATACAGCCGAAAGTCACAGAGGTTATAATCTGCTTTGA